GTTGCCAAATTAATGTATGTCCTAAAAATAAGGGTGAATCTTCTAGTAAGGAAAGTGCGGATCTCAAATCAATTAGTGTTCACCCTAGTTTTTTCGCTATCATTAAGGAACCTTTTGCTACAAACGAATTTCTTGATTTCTTGCCTAGAAGTTTAATCATTAATAAAAAGAAGGAAACTCCTAAGAGTTATAAGTGTTCTATTGAAGAATTGAATACCAAAGATGGCAATACTTAGATCTATTCTCGCTTTTATGCCTAGCTAGGGGCGTTAAACGATAGCGCTTGTTGGGAGGCAACCCAATTTTATTTTTGTTCTTAGCTTTTTGCTCCTATAGAACCTCTGGTTAGATGTGGTTTTATTTTTTAATTAGTGTGTGTGCCAAGTAGAACCTATAGGATCATCTTGGGTGATAGTTAATGTGATCTTTCTGAAAAACGGAAACTTTTGCAAGCACGGGAATAATTTTAGTAAATCACAGAACCGTGATTTTCAGCTGATTCTTTTTGCAGAAGATTAATAGACAAATTGCCTAGGACTTCCTATTTTGGTAGAAGTTTTGGAGTTCCAGAATTATTCGAAAGTTACAGATTACTACAGATTGTTCTGTTTTTGACAGATTCTGTTTTTCGTGTGTTGTTTGCTTATTTTGATGAATCTATGGCTAGTATTGGGGGGTATGAACCATAGAGAAGTTGGGATACAGTATGTTTAACACCAATATAAATAAATAATGAGTTCATTACAGTACCTTAAAGTGGTGGTTTGCTTTCTTTCACTAACGGAGCTTACGAGTTTTCTGTTGAGTTTTGTGTTGTGAAGTTTTCAAGTTTTGGGTAAAGATTTGATGGATTATGGAATAAGGAGTGGCAAGAGCCTAAGCTTGGGGATACCCAAGGCACCCCAAGGTAAAATTCAAGGACAACCAAAAGCCTAAGCTTGGGGATGCCCTGGAAGGCATCCCCTCTTTCGTCTTTGTTCATCGGTAACTTTATTTGAGGCTATATTTTTATTCACCACATGATATGTGTTTTGCTTGGAGAGTCTTGTATGATTTGAGTCTTTGCTTTTTAGTGTACCACAATCATCCTTGCTGTAAACACCTTTTGGGAGAGACACACATGAATCAGAATTTATTAGAATACTCTATGTGCTTCACTTATATCTTTTGAGCTAGATAATTTTGCTCTAGTGCTTCACTTATATCTTTTTAGAGCACGGCGGTGGTTCTATTTTGTAGAAATTATTGATCTCTCATGCTTAACTTATATTATTTTCAGAGTCTTTTAGAACAGCACGGTATTTTCTTTGGTTATAAAATTAGTCCTAATATGATGGGCATGCAAGTTGGGTATAATAAAAACTATCATATAGAGTGCATTGAGTACTATGATCAATTTGATATTTGATAATTGTTTTGAGATATAAAGGTGATAATGTTAGAGTCATGCTAGTTGGGTAATTATGAAACTGAGAAATACTTGTGTTAAAGTTGGCAAGTCCCGTAGCATGCATGTATGGTAAACGTTGTGTGATAAATTTGAAGCACGGGGTGTTCTTTGATTGCCTTCCTTATGAGTGGAGGTCGGGATCGCGTGATGGTTAACTCCTACCAACCCTTCCCTAGGAGCATGCGTAGTATTACTTTGCTCCGAGGGCTAATAAACTTTTTCAATAAGTATATGAGTTCTTTATGACTAATGTGAGTCCATGGATTATATGCACTCTTACCCTTCCATCATTGCTAGCCTCTACGGTACCGTGCATTGCCCTTTCTCACCTTGAGAGTTGGTGCAAACTTCACCGATGCATCCAAACCCCGTGATACGATACGCTCTATCACACATAAACCTCCTTATATCTTCCTCAAAACAGCCACCATACCTACCTATTATGGCATTTCCATAGCCATTCCGAGATATATTGCCATGCAACTTTCCACCGTTCCGTTTATTACTAGATCATTGATGGCGCGTGTTGCCGCGTCCGTCCATTTTGAATGTTGTTTGATAGTGTTAGACAATTATGTAGAACATGGGGTTCCTAATTATTTTGAAATGAGAGTGCAAAATAAAAGTTCCATTGAGTCTCCTTTGGCATGATCATGGCATGGACCCTAGTATAAACCTTAGTGGCGGGCATTTTCTCATTCATCTATCCAATAGAATGGTATGACTTTATCTTCACAATTAAATTGACCAAGAAGCAAAATTAAATCCACGTCACAGTCACGGGAAGACAACTTCATGGCATGTACTTTTGCATGCAGATAAAACTAATGAATTATATATATATATATATATATATATATATATATATATATATATATATATATATATATATATATATATATATATATAGTTGAAGATTTGTCTAAGTGAATATAAGCATCAGGAAAAATTAATCTTCCTTCAAAAGTAACTACCATAGGAGAGGCATTAGAAATGTATCAGAATAGTAGCATCTAGACCAACAGGGAATGCTAGTGTGGTCTCAAAAGATTATCCTAGTTCCACGGTACCTCCAACAAATCATGACTATACGTGTGTTGTGATGTGCCACAAATTTTGCCAACACAGAATATAGCAGTTCATCAAGAATAAATGAAACTTGATGCATGCAAATATAGTTGATAAAGATTAAAAATGCCATTGGTATGAAAGAGATGGGACAAAAAACACTCTGTAAATAGTTAGAACTATACGATACATCAGCGACACCAGTTAATTGTTTTTCGAGTAAAAGCACAAACAAAGGTGACAGTAGCATCTTTAGTCCTGCGTCCGCAAGTTGAAGTGCTCCTTGTGTAATGCAGCTCACTATGCTTGAAAATGCCATTATCATTCAAAAAAATTGATGACGGTATATAAAGGCTAATTCTACAATAAATCAGATATCTCCATGAATGCAAACCTCCGTTCACCACATATTCTGCAACATACAACCTTAATGAAAAAAGAGGTCACATATATTCCATCAACTAATAATACAGAGAATGGCATTACATGGCTGTTTTGGATTTACTGAAAACATTTCCACAATGTAAATTATTGTTTCTCATAAAAGAATAAAGAAACCACCATTTCACACAAAGCGAAGAAGTACGAAGCAGTTTTGACCCAAAAATAAAATAAAGATTGAACTACTGATATGTCAGGAAATATAGCAATGAATATCAAGTATACAAACCACAAATGGAAGATTAGGTTTCGTATTGTTCAAAGTACATAACATTAGGTGTAAGGAAATTTTATGATAACAATCCCTTTTCTTACAAAACATACTCTGCCTCTATCGCTTGAAAGTTCAGAACAAGGCCAAGATGCATAAACCATAACTGAAACATAAATTGTACTTGGGAAATTCTAGCTATAGATTTTATTTAATGATAGTAGTAAGAAACGAATATACACCGGAACATAGAGTATCTAGGGAGACTTGAGGAGGGAATCATTTAAAAAAAATGGACATTGCTTTCAACTAAGCGCAGTCACATATCTACTACCGTTCATGTTGTTCACGCATATTCTGTGTGGAACATATATTATCATTGCTGGTGTAGGTGATATGTGAAGGCATATGTAGCACATCCCACCCTGTCCACCCTCTAGCTCCGCCACTGCATGAAGCATCCTCTAGTGAAAATAGCATAAGTAGCCACCATAAAAGAAATTAACGCGTTATGGCAGGAAATTCAAGGTCCTAACCATTATTAGTAATTTCATGGCAATTGATGATTCATTACAGATGCACTGGTAGCTATTCCACAATTAATAATTATCAAAAATTATTAGTAATAGAAAAGATTGAGAATGACAAACCAGATCCACCATTTGTCTTATTTCTAATTTAGTAATGTTGGTGCCAAGCTTGAGTAAATAGACCCTAATCTCTTCAAGGGTAAATGTCTCGATGTGGTCAATATATAGGCATTCGTATACTTTCCATTAGCCCATGGTTTATTTCTTTGACAAGCTCTCTAGAATAATATTTGATTATGCAGAAGTAATGAGAAGATAATCGGTCAAGCAAAAAGAAAAAAGAGCCATAAGTTAAGATCATCCGAGTACCTTCATTTAGTAGTGTTATTGCCAAGCTTAAGTAAACAGACCCTAATCTCTTCAAGGTAAATGTCCCGATGTGGTTAGTATATAGGCATTCGTATAATTTCCATTAGCCCATGGTTTATTTCTTTGACAAGCTCTCTGGAACGATATCTGATTATGGCAGAAGAAATGGGAAGATACTGCAGTCAAGCTAAAAGAAAAAAGAGCCACAAGTTAAGATCATCCGAGCACCTTCAAGGCTGCCCTTGCTAATTAAAATTCCAAAAGACCATTGGCACGTCCTTCGCAAAGTAAAGTAAATGAAATGAATATCAGAATCTCAGGGACACCATAACATAAACTGGAATACAAAGGATAAATAATAAATTGAAGGAAAAAAAGAATAGTGTACCTGTAAGTCTGTAACCAAAGACAAAACATACTGTTTCGGCTCCAAATCTGAAACACTATACGAAAGTAAACACCATACATCTGTTACAGAAGATACACATTATCAATATGTCTCTTCTTTTGGTTCTGATTACCTGGCCATGCAAAAATATTGTTCTGGCGCTAAATCTGAAACAATATACAGAAGTAAACATCACACGTCTGTTACAGAAGATACACATTATCAATATATCTCTTCTTTTGGTTCTGACCACCCGGCAATCCAAAATCAAATACACAGATCAGAAAGCTCCAGGATCTACCGAAATGAGTTGACAACAGCCAACATGAACATCATCTGTATGTAATTTTTTCTGGGATAAGAGGGCATCAGGACAAGGCAATTGCTTGGTGGAAGAGTGAATCATACATGAATTGAAAAGAATTATAGGGAAACCTATCCGAGCATCATGGTGAAGGAGGTTCTGCTGCTGGGGTGGAAAGGTTGAGCGACGAGTTGTAGTGGAGGAAGCATATATACACGTACCATCATCCGCCATGAATGTCAGAACATAAACTGAAGAATGACCACATCTTGAAATCTCGATGGAGCAGTTCTGATCAGACGAAGCATCGGCATGAATCGCCTGCGTCGGCTGGATCCTCTCCCTCCTTTCTCCATTTTGTAGCAGACTAATCGCCTGTGTCGGTTGGACCGACTGATCCCCTCGTTGCCCGCATCGCCCGCGGGGGCTGGATAGACTGCCATCTCTCTCTCTCGCCTGGATCGATCTGGTTGTACGGTGACCCGCGATCGAATTGTTTTTTGTTGCCCCATCCGGCCGCGCCGCTCACGTCGGCGCGCAGCCGCCAATGTACTCCGAGGCCATGTCAGGCAGCGCAGTCAGAACAGAGCAGGTGGCGAACATGGTTTAGGGCTGGTGTGTGGCGTTTCACCCTCTGCGCTATGTTGGATAGACAGTAGAGAAGGCGAGGATGATAGAAAAGGCCCAGTAGGCCAATAGGCCCAATTGAATGTCAAACATCGAAAAAAGCGACCGGATCAGCAGCGGCCCGAAAAGCCTAGTGCAGCCTGACCCACGAGTTAGCGCCTACGTACGATATTTAGGTGCGACTAACAACAATCCGACGACCAAAAACAACTAAAAGTGGCGATCTAACGACTAGAAATGCTTATGGCCTGAGAGGGCTGGGAGGGTGCTCAGTTTTAATATATCTAAATGACACGCTCCATCATTGTCATATTCCTTTTGCATGATCATGTAGTTGACATTGTATTTGTGGCAAGCCACCTTTATAATTCTTTCATACATGTCGCTCTTGATTCATTGCATATCCCGGTACACCGCCGGAGGCATTCACATAGAGTCATATTTTGTTCGAAGTATTGAGTTGTAAATAAATAGAAGTGTGATGATCTTCATTATTAGAGCATTGTCCCATATGAGAAAAGGATGATGGAAGCAATGATTCCCCCATAAGTCGGGATGAGACTCCGGACTTTATGAAAAATAAAAAAGGCCAAAGGATCCCAAATAAAAAAAGAGGCCAAAGAAGCCCACCGAAATAAAAAAATAAAAAAAAGGAAAAAAATGAGAGAAAAAGAGAGAAGGGACAATGTTACTATCCTTTTTCCACACTTGTACTTCAAAGTAGCACCATGATCTTCATGATGGAGAGTCTCCTATGTTGTCACTTTCATATACTAGTGAGAAGTTTTCATTATAGAACTTGGCTTGTATATTCCAATGATGAACTTCCTCAAAATGCCCTAGGTCTTCGTGACAAGCAAGTTGGATGCACACCCACTTAGTTTCTTTTGTTTAGCTTTCATACATTTATAGCTCTAGTGCATCCGTTGCATGGCAATCCCTACTCCTCGTACTGACATCAATTGATGGGCATCTCCATAGCCCGTTGATTAGCCGTGTCAATATGAGACTTTCTCCTTTTTTGTCTTCTCCACATAATCCCTATCATCATACTCTACTCCATCCATAGTGCTATATCCATGGCTTACGCTCATGTATTGCATGAGGGTTGAAAAAGCTGAAGCGCATTAAAAAGTATGCACCAATTGCTTGTCTGAAACTAGGGTTGTGCATGATGGGAGCATTTTGTCTGACGAAAATGAAGCATGGCCTAACTATATGATTTTGTAGGGATAAGCTTTCTTTGGCTATGTTATTTTGATAAGACATGACTATTTTTATGTCAATATTAAACTTTTATCTTTAGTCATTTGGATCTGAACATTCATGCCACAATAAAGAGAATTACATTGAAAAATATGTAGGTAGCATTCCACATCAAAAATTCTGTTTTTATCATTTACCTACTCGAGGATGAGCAGGAATTAATCTTGGGGATGCTTGATACGTCTCCAACCTATATATAATTTTTGATTGTTCCATGCTATTATATTAACTGTTTTGGATGTTTAATGGGCTTTACTAAGCACTTTTTATATTATTTTTTGGACTAACCTATTAACCGGAGGCCCAACCCAAATTGTTGTTTTTTGCCTATTTTAGTGTTTCACAGAAAAGGAATATCAAACGGAGTCCAAACGGAATGAAACCTTCGAGAGAGTTATTTTTGGAAGAAACGCGATCCAGGAGACTTGGAGTGGACCTCAAGAAAGAAACGAGGCGGCCACGAGGCAGGGAGGCGCGCCCCCACCCTCATGGGCCCCTCGTGGCTCCCATGACCGACTTCATTCGCC